AATGATGTGTTATGTACAATAATTTGTGTACATATACAGTTGGATTCATTTAAATAAAATACTTATATGGACCCTATCTATTTAAATATATGCACACACGGAGTGGAAATATTAGATGTTTTTGGAATTCCACATCGAAGCTTGATTGCGCTATCTAGCCTTTGGCAAAAACTACAAAGTAAAGGAAATACATAGAGTTATGTACTTACCTGGACGGCGCCTTTGGGCGATCAAGAAGACTCATGGTCCAGGGAGGCGACCTTCATTGCACTTGGAAGGGGCGCCCTTCTAAGGTCGGCTCCTGCGGGGTCGAGCCTACGTCATAATTCGTGGTAGTGGGGGCCGGCGTACGCGCGACCCCTACCCAATTCCATGTCAAATCTTCAGTCCACTAGGCCCAATTATTATTGCATAATTGCATTGATGAAAGCCAGCCTAAGTGTTGATCCACTTGGCCCATAACCCGACTGACTTGTTGAGCACCCACCCACCCAATTGGGATGACGAAGCTGAAGCGGAATTTCTGTTGAAAACTCTTGAAGACGTAAATTTAAAACGATCAGCATAGAGATAGTTGCCTTAACCGGATAGGTACTCTGACTATTTAGATACCTGACGAATCAATGAGTGATCAGAATCAATTGACTTCCCAATTAGTCTACGAACGAGGTCCAAAATACTTTGATTTTATTATATTTTTGCAACTACGACCATATCATATCCGTATCGAATTGGAAGAATAGGGTCTTTATGGCACTGAAACAAGGAAATCAAAATTCTCTGTCCTATGGATTGTAGATTTTCGAAAGAGACTAATAATAGAATAATTTGTGGTCCAAGTGGTCGAGCCTCGTGGGGTCCTGCATTCTAGCACCCCATGCCCAAATTGCAGTCTCAAATTAAATAACACTTTTCTCACTGTAATCTAAGTTGCCATAGTGCTTAACTATTGCATAATTACACTAAATATAATAATATAATTACATAGAAACTGAAAATAAACAAAATCTAATGACAAGTAATGTGTTTTTTATCTTTTATCCTGAGTAAATAACAGATGGAAAAATTCCCAGCATTTAGCTGCATTATCTTATCCCACATGGGTAAAAGATATATAACTCAAATGGAGAGTCACCACTATAAAAGAGACAATACGAATGCAGATTCACTCACGCAGCTGCGTGGTGAGCACATAGCGAACTATTCTTTCGCCTTTTACTAAAGAATACCGTGTGCTCTCCACACTTCAAGCAGCATACGCCTATTTTTGGAGGGAATCCCTTTCCTTAAGGAAAAGGTTCCTACAATTGAGTTTACAAATTTACCTTATTATATCTGTCCATTGATTTTGTCATTGGCTTTTGTCTAATCTCGTCAATTTGAGCCTTGAAACCCCGATAATGAAGGGCTGTGGTACACTTTTATGAACGTGACTTTTGTTTTTGCAATATTTATCTATCTAGTTGGGATGCATGTTTTGGTTAATTTAATATTTTAATAATCTTCTGCTGTCTGTAAGTAAACTCATGATGGGATGATGACATTACTGTTCCTACACTCAAATCTAATCACCTTTTTCTAATTTGCTCTTCATTAGCATCCTCATCGTGCCGCGACGCTCGCCATTGCTTGTCGTACAATGTTGCCTCATCGGCCAGCTTCCGAATATTCTCAACATCCTCTTTCCTCTTGAAAACAACCACACTATAACAGCAAGCAAAACGGCACCTTTGCAAATGAAATTCTCAGTTTGCCCCACCACATCGAGTCCCGTCAAGGCATCCACAATGTACGCCATAAAGTAACCCAACATTACAGCTCGCTCCACTCCGCTCACTTCGCTCGGTCGCTCCGCTTCCCTCGCTACGTTCGCTCCGTTACGCTCGCAGGCATCAACCTGCCCCCTTCCTTTGTCAATATATGAGTCATACCAACAGTAACATTAGTTTAGGGATAAATGTTTGTTACTAGTTAGGATCAGGCAGTCTGAGTACTATTGTTTGACGAGAAACTAGAGAGCCTTTTGGTTTCTATCGTTTTTTGGAGAAAAAAGAATTCGGCTTATGTGAATTCGAACCTAGCAGGAACACTTTAGCGCAAGTGTTCTTTTATTTGCCAGTGTAAGGTTTTCGACATTTAGAGACACGAAATTTGTCGCATGACTCGTTAGTAAAAAGCGTGCTACAAGACTCGGCTTCTTTGTTGTGTGGTGAGAGTTGCAAGCTCTGTGTATGCAGGCAGTTGTGCCAATGGATGCCATGAGACCTAAAACAGGAAAAAAACTATTTGGTTATTTGCTCCTTTAACTTTTTTCTTCACAATTGATGTCAATTGGCAAGATTTGGGAGGATAAGGAGTGACAAAAAAGCCCATACTCTTTTGAATAAACTATATTATCCTTCTGCTGTCTGCCATTGGCATGGTACATGCTGCTCAATTGTATTTGATTACAGCCAGTTTAGTCAGTAGATCAGATAGCAGAACAACAATAACACAGAACAATTACATAAATCGAAATTGCAACTGAACTAGTAAATATTTCTTGAGTTGAGCAAGTTCACAAATACTCGGCCACGAGAGAAAGATTAGACTAGGGACAATGACGAAACGAAGCTTCATTTCCTGAGAGACTGAACATCAAACAGAGAGGCTTTTTTACTTGGTCACATTGCCTTTTAAATAATGAGCATAACATGCATACTCAATCATGCAAGCTAAAAAATTCAAGAGAAATGAGAGAAAGAGGATTAAAAAGAAAAATACTCAAACAATTTTATTGAGTTATATAAAATATGAATTGTAACTAGGCTTCCCAACCCCTCAGGAGAGTAGCACGAGCAACACGATTGACACCCAATGTAAAGGCTCCCATCCTAAGGTTGCAATTGTGTAATTGGCACATGTGCTTTATATTGTGGAAGGCTTTTGTCATGTATCTTTTTAGCTCCTCATTCACTTTATCCTCATCCCACATAAAGCCTTGAATGTTCTGTATAGCAAAAATTAGAAGTGATGTCAGATACGTAGCTCGATAAATTTAGAAAGATTAGTAAAGACTACAAGTGAATGAATATAGTTCAAATCATCATTTTTTGATAGTGTCGAATCTCAAAAAACTTGCTTGAAAATGAATGATAGGTGTAATGTAGTGACTTCAGGCAGGTTGTGAAATATATATATATATATATATATACATATATATATATATATATATATTTTGTCGATCAAGCTGGAGAATGTTACCTGGACCCACTCAAAATAACTGACTGTCACTCCTCCCGAATTTGCATATATGTCAGGAAGTATTACAACGCCCTTTTTCGACAAAATCTGCAGAAGTAAAACTGTCATGATAAACTGTGATGAAATTTACTAATTGAATGAAATTAAAGAGCGAGAAATAAGAATAATTATTTTGGGACCTCATCAGCTTCAGGATCAGTGGGATGATTTGCAGCTTCAATAATGAACTTGGCCCTGACATTTCCTGCATTTTCTCTTCAAACCAAGAAAATAACCAAGTCGCGTGTTAGCCAGATCGCACCAAGAAAAAAGTTTTATAGAAATCTTTTCATAAATAAATAAATCAGTATTACAAACAGAATACGACCACATTCTTTCTTTATAATATCCCTATAAAAGGCAAAAAATATAAAGTAAATACATGCTACTATTAGTTCAAAAAAAGGAAAGGTTTGTCGTGATAAACTGAAATGAACTCAAGTACATAGAAGAAGAGGCTTCTGAAAAGAAAAGGGTCAAACAAATATTCTTAACTAAATCATAACTATCTTTAGTATAACAGAGGTGCTCCAAGAATATAAATATCTATCCTCCGTGCAAATATTGATAACAAATATTACTAGAGAAGGAAAAAAAATATGAACACTTAAATTAAAATTATCTGATATCTGCCGAACCCAAATATGTAGACTTCTATATGATATAGACAATAAATAACATATGCAGTTTCAAAAATAAATTAAAAAAAAAAAAGAATTTCATGAATTTACTGTAGCATGCATCTTTCATTTGAAAAAGGACTTCCGTTTACTTGGTTGGCTAGGTATAGGTAAACTATATATACAGACAGGGTGAACAAATAACTATGGCACATGCAATTAATCAACTTTATCCATCAAAATGCTATTTAAATTAAACCTGTTGAGAACTCCGCCTAATGCACAAGGTATGAGAACATCACATTCGTGAGTGAGCAAATCGTCAGAATCCATTGCGTCAGCACCATTGAAATCTGATAATTTACCAGTTTTCTCTTTGTGCTCAATTAGTGACGGTATATCAATGCCATTAGCATTCTTCACTGCTCCAGTTATGTCACTCACTGCTACAATTTTTCCTCCAAGTTCGTGTAAGAGCCTCGCAGCCCATGACCCAACATTTCCAAATCCCTAAAATAATATATTATGATATTCAGTTTTGCAGAAAATCGTAATGGAGTGGAATGCAATGAAGTCATGTTTTAGTAATCATTAAAGAAACCAACCTTACGCTTTGCCTTAATAACATAAGAAATTGGTTATCGTTCAAAATTGCAATTTCCATTTGATGTTTTTAGTCTTTTTAACAATTAATATCATCTGAATTATGGGAAATTCTGTACATTTGCAAACTCCACTTTTTCTTCTGTTGTAATTTATCCGATGAAATAATCTTTTTTTATTTTTTTCACAAAATAAAAAATGTTGCCATGTTCATGAAATATGCCAATCATTGAATAACGTGATATTTCTTAGGACAAAAGTGGAAAAATAGTAAATTTCAGGGGAGCGAGCTACTACAGAAGGAGTTTCAACAGCGAAGTCCAGAAAAAAAAAAATATTACAGCTCAGGGAATGTTCTGCAATTTACTATATTAAAAATTATAACCATCAATAAGGTTCGATTTGTAAAATGCAAACACATGTTAGTGAAAATAATACCTGAATAGCAAACGTCAAGTCCTTAATCGGCTTTCCATGTTCAGCAAGTAAGGCTTCAGTGGCAAATACAACCCCACGCCCAGTCGCGGCCTCACGACCCAGTGATCCTCCAAGATCCTAATGCATAAAAAAACAGACACACTACTTACGAATGATAGATATAAGTTCAAACAGTAACTTGCAAGGAATACTAACACACATAATATACACACATATATTATAACTTTTTTTTTTTTAAGGATTTACTTACAATTGGCTTTCCCGTGACAACTGCAGGAGAGTGACCATGAAATTTCGAGTACTCATCCAAAATCCAGGCCATTGTCTGCACATTACAAACAATTTTCAGTTATATCTTTTGTAGAGTAATGAAAGAGTAAGTATGAAGTGAATGTAAACAAAAGGGGGGACATAATATTCACCTGAGCATTAGTTCCCATATCTGGTGCGGGCACATCAGTGTTAACGCCTATAAGGTCGTGAATCTTTTGCGTGAAGACTCGAGTTAGACGTTCTAACTCGCTCGTGCTTAGATCTTTAGGTGTGCACCCGATTCCACCTTTTGCCCCACCATAGGGAATATCTGCTACAGCTGTCTTCCAGGTCATCAATTGAGCAAGAGCATTGACTTCATCAGGGTCAACCTTCAGGGAGAAATTTGAATATCCTCAGGGTAAGAATGAAAACAATACGATAATTAAAATATGACTTTTTAATACTATGTTTTGGATGGATTCTTTTATGTACCAAAAAAA